TTGCATATGTGTCAGATTATGTATGTGGATATGGACACATGTATATATACACACAGAGATAAATGAAATCAAACAGGATTTGGCAGGAGTTGCTTGAGAATTCAGGTCTATCTGGCATCATGGATGGAGCATGAGCCAGTGAGCTCAGCTCATGCAAATCCTTTGGGAAGAGTCGTTTTTCTGTTGCTGTGAGCTAGTAATGTATGTCAACTGAGACTCCCTTTTCTCTATTTATGAAATCCACATATGGCTGAAACTCCTGGTGAACAGAAAATATGGTCTTCTAAATGAAGAAAGTTACAACTGCTCGTAGTCACCAGCAAACACACTTCCGTTATAGACAGCCATTGGTTTCTCTTGCCAGGCATCATGTTCTTATTCCATGCAGTGAGCATTCAGGAGGTGGAGAAGAAAGGGTCAGGAGCTGAAGGGCATCCCTGACTTCATAGTTTGAGTCCAGTCTGCCTGTTTTTAATCAAAAATAGGCCTTTAAATCACTTAGAAAACCCTCCTCAGGAAAATTATGCATTCTAGAGATTTTAGAAATAGTATAAAGCTTGCCTAAAACATAGGTTGGCCCCATGCTCTCTCTGGCCATTTTTCACTCTCACGTAATTCACAAAGGTCCCTTTGTCCATTGCATCCTTCGTCCTTGAGAGTGCCCATATCACTCTGTAATAAATTCTGCCTGGCCCTAATACTATGATTTATGTGTCTCATCTGAAATCATTAAATGGAGATCACAAAATCAGGGAGCTAAGGATAGTACCAAGCAAGATTCTAGAATACATCCATACAATGTGTACCTTGGGTGCATGCCATAGTTCCTCAAGGAAAAGTGTTTTGTTCTGCAAGTCTGACCACCTCAAATTGATCGTTCCAACTCAATAGGGAAGGAGAAGATTGCCCTCCAGATGAACACCCCAGCATGTGTGTATTCACCCCTCCTGGCCCTGAAGCACACACATTTAAGCAGAGAAAATGCTTTTATGTAAGACGGAAAAGACAGAAGAGATGACCCACACTTGGCCTTTGATCCTACATCAAAGTATTGACAAATAATATTTATTTCAAATAATCTATACATGCCTTTAAAAGCTACTCTCCTGTTTTCATTGGCATTTAACTTAAGCAAACAGTAATTTCATATCCTCATGTAAAGGGGCCTGGATATTTTGAGAACTTATATTTGCAGTATGCATCAGTTTGCCTTGCAAATTTGAAAGATAAATTATTTCAGCGCATGTGCTGTAAGTCCAGCTTTAAGAAGTAAGGAAACCACAAATCACTCAGGTATTGACCATGTCACGAAGACATTCTCAGCCAAGATGGACACAGTGGTTCCTATCAAACTAAAGTGCTGAGGATTAAGGTGAGACTCTAGGGAACATTAGTAAAGTGCTTTCTGATAAAGAAACCCCCAGAAAGGGAGTCCAGTCCATGGATAAAACAGGGTCAAGGTAATGCTTAGGCATATATGGGCACAATACAAAAGAAGGCTTCATGCCAGTAGTCACTTTGCTGAGAAGTGGGGCGTGAACTGGATGCTTCTTGTACAGTAGGGTGGTGATAGGCCTATGAGATTGTTATGAGGGGCTATGCAGTTCTTCAGAAGGAGCTCCTGTAGTCTTAACAAGTGACTAGAAGGAGGCCTGAAAATTTAGTTCAATTGGTACAGTGTTTGCCCACATGTAAACAGCCCTCAAGTCATTTTTCAACACTGAATAAAGCTGGGTGTGGTAGCACATGCCTAGTATCCTGGAAGTTAGGAGGAAGGAGTGGATGGATGGAAGTTTAAGGTCATCTTTGACTACATAGCGAGATCAAAGTCAGTCTGGATGACATGAAACCATGCTGAAAAACAAAATAAGATCCATAGGGTCAACCCAGTTTTGTTCAGAGAACATGAAACTTCTTTGTAAACGTCTTGGTTTCTGTTTTTGAAGTAGAAGGCACTTGGCCAGCATAAACTATTTGAGTTTTCACAAAATCCTGGATTGCTCTCTGTATACAGCCTGCCTGCATAGTGAGGCCAGCAAGGTGAGGCATCTATTTTAACCCTCTCCATCCTTGATTGTGACGGTAAGCTAGCTTTCAAACTGCAGTGTCAACTCCTGACAGAAATTCTGCCTTCCCACTTCCTTTGCACAGCAACTTACCTCCGTTTCAAAGTCTCCCCTGCACAGTGTAGATCCTGACTATTCACTGATTGGTATGTGAATGTTTTCAATGGGACCTTGTGGTGGTGTGAATGAGAATGGCCTTCATAGGCTCATATATTTGAATGTTTGTTTCTTACTTGGTGGACTGTTTAGGTCAGATTAGGAGGTATGGCCTTGTTGGAGAAAGTGTGGCCTTGTTGGAGGAGGTGACTCACCAGGAGTGGACTTGGAGGTTTCAAAAGCCCAAGCGAAACCCAATCTCACACTCTTTGTCTCCTGCTTGTGGATCATATGTAAGCTCTCAGGTACTGCTCCTGCACCATGCCTGCCTGTCAACATGCTCCCCTCCAAGACTGTCATGGCTCACCCCCTGAAACTGTAAACAAGCCCTGGATTAAGTGTTTTCTTTTATAAGTTGCCTTGGTCATGGTGTCTCATCACAGCAATAGAGCAGTAATGAAGACAGACCTTGAATACTATCTGCTGTGGAATGTCATTCTGTATGCTGTGAATATGTGTTGATAAAGAAAATGCTGATTGGCCAGTAGCCAGGCAGGAAGTACAGGCAGGATAAGCAGACAAGGAGAATTCTGGGAAGAGGAAGGCTGAGTAAGGAGTCACCAGCCAGACACAAAGAAAGCAAGATGGTAAGGCAGAACTGAGAAAAGGTACCAAGTCACGTGGCTAATCATAAATAAGAATTATGGGTTAAGCTGGGCAGTGGTGGTACACTCCTTTAATCCCAGCACTCGGGAGGCAAAGCCAGGCAGATCTCTGTGATTTTGAGGCCAGCCTGGTCTACAGAGTGAGTTCCAGGAAGGCACAAAACTACAAAGAGAAAACCTGTCTTGAAACCCCCCCCCAAAAAAGAATTATGGGTTAAATTAAGTGTAAGAGCTAGTCAATAATAAGCCTGAGACAATGGCTAATGGCCAAGCAGTTATAATTAATATAAGCTTCTGAGTGATTATTTTATAAAAGGCTGAGAGATTTGTCCCAGTCGTGGGCCAGGCAGGACACAGAAAAACTTCCATCTACAACTATCCTAATATTTTCTGCATATATACCTGCCCACATCTTGAATGCAATGATTTTGATGATTCTTGAGGTAGAATAACTTCACCATGTTAACAGAACACAAGCAGGACACACTGCCACTAGAAGGCAAGCTGTAGGCCTCCAAGGTAGGCAAGTTTATGAGATGTTACTGGTGTATGTTTTGCTCTATAAACATGGGAAGCAGGCTGCAGATGATCTTAATTCTAGGGCAAAGTATTGGTGAAATTATTAAGGCCACTCCATGTAGTTAAAAGGGAGATTTATTTAGTGGCGTAACTTACAAATGAAGGGATAGGTAGGTTGCAGGGTCTGGGAAAGACGCAGCGCAGTCCGGTGGTGTTCTCTGGAGAACTCTGCTCGGTCTACCTCCACTGTCCAGGGTCCAGGCAACAAGAGAAGGTGGTGCATCTGGATCTCGGGTCTTCAGGGCCCTCTCTTGGCCCTGCCTTGTAGGCGTGACAGTTACTGAAGCCTCAATGGGGTTGGAACTTCCAGACCAAAGCTGGAATGGCTACCCACTACAGCAGAGGGTGGTCAATCAGAGCTCTGTGGCTGGTTGCCTAAAGATAATTCTAGCCCCACCTTCATCTTTTCTTGTTCAAGCCCAGTGTTGTCTAGTGACCATCAGCCTGTTCCAGATTTGTAGCTGAAGGTTTTCCTGTGTCCCACCTGGTGGCCAGTCAGACCCAAGCAAACACACAGAGACTTATATTACTTATAAACTGTATGGCTGTGGCAGGCTTCTTGCTATCTAGTTCTTATATCTTAAATTAACCCATTTCTATAAATCTATATCTTGCCACGTGGCTCATAGCTTATGGGTATCCTTACATCTTGCTTCTCATGGCAGTGGCGGCTGGCAGCATCTCCTGACTCAGCCTTCTATTTCCCAGAATTCTCCTCTCTGCTTATCCCACCTATACTATACTTCCTGCCTGGCTACTGGCCAATCAGCATTTTATTTATCAATCAATCAGAGCAACACATTCACAGCATACAGAAAGACATCCCCAGCACAGATTTTACCCTCCGCCACTTCAAAACCTTCACATTTTTAGGTGCTGGGGGTAAAGAATGGAAGTCAATGCAGCTGCACAGAAAGCGCTCTCTCCCCCACTCCCTCAAAAGGAAAATTAGTGTCTTCCCAGTATTCAGAGTAAATTTGATGCAAATTTGAAGGCACAGAACAGAAATCCCATATCCAAAGTTTCCTTCATTGGCCTGAGCCATTTTTCTGTATTTTGAAATCACTGGTCTTCACAATGAAGCCTTTTTCTCATTATCTACTATGATTTTATGTTTGGGAATTTGTTCATATTTCAGGGTATGCATTAGATTCTCACAGTCCTTACGTAGACCTTAAAACTTTGATACCATTAATAATTGAAAATTTCATTACTGGCAATTAAGTAAATTGAGACTCAAGGATCAACATAGAGCTTGGAAGATACAAAGTCAGGTACAGGAACATTCCTCTGTGAGGTGTTTTTTATGGCAGGAACAGGAAAGTTTCTAACTCTTACATTTATTTTCCCAGAGAAAAAAAGTGAATATCTACTATAATATATAAAAGCGTCTATAAACTAGTGAGCTAGGAAATAAACTATGATAACTTGAAAGACCAATCACATGACAGTGGAGTTATGCACATCCTAGTTTAATTCAAGGAGAGATGAGTGATTTCAATGAAAGAAACCACTGTTGCCTTTTACTCTCAATCAGTGTTTCGGCTTCACATATTCTGAGGACTCATTCATCCATTCATGAATATAATAGCGCTCATTTCTGATTTGCAGTGCTTTCAAAAAACATGAAGTCCTAGACAAGAATAAAAATAATAAGTCAATTTTCAGCAATAAAAGTGAAATTTCAAATTAAGAAATTTCAAATTAAAAAAATTGAGGGAACTCAGGAGTGGGAGGCAGTAGAGTTTTGAGTTTGAAGCTACACTGGTCTACATGGTGAGACCTTTTCTCAAAAGCTAAGACAAACACGACACCAAAGAATAACCAAAGTATAAACCAAGCCAAAGGGAGAAAAAAGAGTAACAAAGGAAAATGGGATATGTATACTACAAATGAGATACTATACATTCATAAGAATGAAACCTTTTCATAAATAAAAAAATGGATTAACCTGGAAGATAGTATGTTACATGAAATAAGCCAGAGAAGAAAATAAAACATAGCACACTCTCACATGCAGAGTATAAAAATGTTCAACTCATCATTCTAAACAAAGAGAGTAGAATTGTATAGCCTGAGGATGGATGTTAGGTTGGGGAAATAAGAGTTGTATCAAAGGTTCTAAATGTTCATTAATGGAGAATAAATCCTAGTGATTCACACACAGCACTGTGACTGGGGGTATATCACTTCATTGCATATTCCAAAACTGCTAAAGAATAGATTTTAAATGTTCATATTGCAAAATAAAGATAATCCTTGAATTAATGGACATGTCAGTTAGTTTGCTTTGATCATCTCACAACCTATACTTCTATCAAGATACCATGTGAAACCCCATAAATGCATACACATAATATTTGTCTATTGAAGTAAGTAGAACTGTTGCAAGATTGAAGCTTTAATTAAGGAATTAGTTACCACACATCTCAAATTTGCAAAGAATAACATGCTAAATTCTAGTGATTCCTAATCTGGTTTTATAATTACTAACATCTATGTTTGGCCAAACTATTATTTCATTTCCTAGATCTCTATGACTTTACTCTCATTATTGAAGAGCAAATATTAAAATAATCTCACCTGGGTGTGGAAGCTCATACCCGAAATTCTAGCACTTTGGAAATTCAGGAGAGATGATTGCCATAATACAGAGGCCAGTTTAGACTACAGAGGGATACTGGGTCTCAAGAAAAAAAAATAACTAAAAGCAAATATGAAATACCTCATCTCTTAGGGTTTCTACTGCTGTGATAAAACATCATGATCTAAAACAACTTGCGGGGGGAAGGTGTTACTTCAGCTTAGAGTTTCATATCATATTCCATCACTGAGGAAAGTCAGGACAGGAACTCAAATACACCAGGGACACATTAGCAGGAGCTAATGCAGAGTCCGTGAAAGAATACTGCTTACTGCCTTGCTTATTATGGCTTAGTCTGCCCTTTTATAGAACCCATACCACCATCTCAGGGATAGCACTGTCCCCAGTGTTCTGGGCCCTCCCACATCAATCATCAATCAAGAAAAATGGGCTACAGGCTTGACCAGAGGCAAATCTAATGGAAGTATTTTCTCTGTTGAGTTTCCCTCTTCCAAGATGACTCTAGCCTGTGTCAGGTTGACATAAAATTAACCAGCATTCCATGATATGTTCCTTTAGAGATATATGGACTTCGTTAAACTTATTCATAGCCACAATACCATTGTTGCATAAAAAAGATAGTTTATTTTAGCATTATATGGCAAGTGTTCACATTTCCCTGAATACCACTTGAAGGTTTGACTAATTTGATAAAAATGATCTGTCCCTGTAACCTTCAACTTTGATGATATGGGAGAATTTTCTGAATACTCAACAAACATCTGGTTCTGAGCTTGGAACTTAGTATGGGAACTGAAAAAAATCTCAGGGCCACTGCTTTATCCCAAATATTTCCTGTAACATGCTAGTTAGATATAGAGATTTGACTGAATGTATATTATTGGATGATTACACTTCATTTTATTAGATGAGTTAATCAAATGATATGTTTAGATAAAAATCTTTGTATCCACAACTTTTATTACATATAAGTATTAGTTCTTTGAAGTCTCAATTTAACTTTTTATTTTGAGTCAGAACCTCTCAACATACGAGCTTTGTATCTTTGACTTGAATGACAACGTGGAATCTTTGGACAGAAAATGTGTCCCCTATGAATTCAAACTGTAAGAAAGACTTGAGATCATCTCAGAGCTAGGACTATACATCACTTCTTCTATAAAACCTGGGAAGTAAGAATGTATTCCTCCTTTGTTTAGTTTTCTCTTTCCTAATTTTTTAGAATCTCATACATATATACAATGAAATATGATCATACCCACTTCCCATCTCCCTAACTAAGAAGGCAATCTTTAAGTATGCAGTTTTCCATGTTATCTCCACATGGTTCTAGGGACTCCATCTGAAATAATAATCACAAAGAACAGACTTACTATGAGGAAGCAAGCTCCAAGCATCACAGCCTTTATCTTTACATCAAGGTCTATTGGGAACTGGATACCAAAATTGTCCACATCTGTCAGTAACTCCTTCAGAAAACCAGACCAATGCTTGGAAATCCTTCCAACCACAAATTTTTCATCAAGAGATTTGATCTGAATTGGAAACAAAAGTCAATGAACAAAAGGAGAGACTTAAAAAGTTCTGGAAAACTAATAATAAAACTACTTTCAGGGATTAAATAAGAGGCAACAAACACTCCATTCAAATTATGCTCTCACGTAACTGAATATTGGAAGAGTTAATACATAAAATAGGAATTTTTGGCATTATATATGAAAAGTTCACAATGTCTCCCCAGTGTTTTCACTTGTTTCTTGAAAGTAAATTATATGTCAGCTTAAGTTTTGTTAATGTTTCTGGAAATAGAAATAACTTTACACATATCTAGATACTTTCTCATATAGATCTACTTTTACACATACCAGTATATAAAGTCTTTATAGGATGTATTAAATGCCCTCACACATGCTCAGAACTTTATACACACATGCTTTGTAAGATCTCTTGTAGTATTTCTATATTATCTGTGTTTTCTAAAAACTGCCCATGTCTATGATTAGATTTTTAGGTCATTGAAGGCAAGGCTTCATGTAGAGATAACTGGATTCTAGGAGAGGAATGAAAACCTTCATGGTTACCAAGTGCAGTAAGCAATGGGACAAAGTAACATGGAGACAGCCATTCGTGGGCATGGAGAGAGGGTTCTAAAGGTTTATTAGAAAGTGGCTGCCCACTGGGCGGTGGTGGCACATGCCTTTAATCCCAGCACTCGGGAGGCAGAACCAGGCGGATCTTTGTGAGTTCGGAGGACAGCCTGGTCTACAGAGCAAGAAAAAAAAAAAAAGAAAAGAAAAGAAAAAGAAAGAAGGAAAAAGAAAAGAAAGTGGTAGCCCTCATCAGCTTTAGAGTATTTTTGCTCCTTCTGTGGAAATGTAGGCCTAATTTTTTTCAGATTTTCTGACTTTTGAAGAGAATCGGAGAGTCAAAATGACAAAAATTCCCTCAGCTTTAAAAATTCCTCCAGGGAGTAAATGTAGAAACATGTTTTCCAATGTACTAATTCAACAGGGAGATCCCAGTGAAGCCTGATTGGACAGTAGGCACTATACCTGCACTAACTTTTTTCTTCTGAAAAAGATTCACTTCTTTTTCTTTTATGTATGTGGGTGTTTTGCTTGCATGTAGGTCTATGCAGCATATGCATGCAGTGCCTGAGGAGCGTTGTATCCTTAAACTATGAGTCCAGACAAACTCTTCTTCCTTCAGATTGCTTCTTGAAATTGTCATGTATTAGTCATAGCAATGAGAAAAGTAACCAATACAGAAATTGTGCATATTTTTAAGATGGATGTACCTTTTTCTTTTTTAACAGCATCAGTACTGATCTTTCATTGGACCAGAAAATATTTCTCTGACCATGGTATTTCTCTTTTGAAATATTTGTACAAAGAGCTCCCTTTAATACAACTGTAGCTCATTGCAAAATATGTTCTATTTATAAAAAAAAGGAAATCCAATAAATATGATCACATTTGTTACCTTAAAATCAATGTTTCCTCCAAGGCTGCATACAATACATGGACCGACAATTTTGAGAACATCCTGCTTCTTCTCATTTTGAACTGTAAACTTTGGAACACATGGGTGCCAGGTCTGAACAACGTAACCTATTGTCACACCAGGAGGAGCTTGGACTTCCATCTACAAATGAAAAAGAACATTAGTAAATATGTTTATCATCATATTGTCTATTTGTGGCTTCATTTACTAAGAATGACTCACAGTGCTCCTATCTACAACACCCCTTAATTAGATCAATGTTATTCCTTTTCTTAATTCATGGAGGAGGCAACCACACTAAAGAAAGATGAATTAACTTGCATCAGATTCCTCAGCTAATACAGAAAAGGGGTAAATTGAAGGCTTGACAGGTAGCATGCTTCATTAATATCTCCATTTATTAAAATTGTCAAAATTATTAACAAACTTTTTTCCCTTAAACTTGTTTATTAACAGTGGCTTATCTATATGGATAGAACTCTGACCACTGGGGAACTTTCAACTATGAATCCTGATATTGTATAAGGAAAGGAGGCTGAGCACTAGACTCATGGCCCTGCTATTTCTTTACTAGGAGGCCATCATGGTGCATTACTGTGCTTATCTGTAAATGATCATTTCTGATAATCAAACCTCATGACCATGTTATACTGGTCCTCAATTGTAGCACTGTCCTCATCAAATACATTTTTCTCAGATACAGCTATGCATGTGAAATTAGTTTAAATGGCATGGAAAACAAAGTAATTCTTTATAAATAAAACTTGTTTCTCAAAATACAGTATGTATAGTATTAAACTTCAAATAACTTTTTCCTTGTTGTCTCTGTTTGAGCACAAGTTAAGGATATTATTTACAGAATCACTAGGGGATGCAGGCAGACATTGTTCTGGGCTAATGAAATCCAGGCAAATGCTCCTTTCCCTATGAAGTCTCTATGCCATGGTATCTGCTCTGAAAGGCACATTTGCAATGAGTAGACACATCAGGCAATATGAAACAGACAACTGAACTTTAGCTGAGGACATCTCCGTCTGGGGAATGTTTACTACAGAGGACACAACTTGCTGTGTATATTAAAAGAGAATAAATGAAAAAGACAGGAGATAATTGTTTTCTGTTTGTCCCTCAGTGGAGTGTTCAAATCATCAGATAATCACAAGATGAGTACATCTATCCTTCTCCCAACTCTTCTGTGAATGCACTCTATTTCTAGAAAAATATTCCAGGATATCCTCAGACATGCAGCTCCATTAGTTTGGTCCATGCCTGTCATGATCATTTCTGACAAGAGATTTGGCCAAAATGTCTTCCCTTGAACATCACAAACTATTGCTTGAGCTGTAACTCAGCCACTAAGGGGAGATTAGCCAAGGACACAGGCTTGGACATTTATCTTCCTTCCTATAGTTGAAGGAAGACCAAAATATTGATCATGGATCATTTTTTAAAATATCAATAACATGACAAAAAAATTCTTGCAAACTGCGTTGGTAAGTATTCACAGACCTTCTGGAGGCAGCAGGGACAGAAACAAGAACTACATCTTAGTGGTCGCTTCAAAAGTATAACTTCATGACCTGAGTTATCAAGAATCCTCATAGAGAAAGACCTGCAGTCCCCACAGCAATTACATGCGCAGAAATTGGACTCTTCGACTGCGTAGTAAACTTTCTGACCAAGCTTGTCCTTGATTTTGTATTTGTTAACAGTTTCAAAACCTAAAATGGCTAAAAGAAAAAAAAAACAACAGGGAATCATAACCAACATTGCATTAAAATCCTCAACCTATCTTCAGATCTTGTAATACCTAGATAGTCTGGGTCTAGATGATATTCTAGATAACACAAGGAGAGAATAAAAGGGAGGTATATATAGATAATCCAGTGTGAGAGAAGGAAAGACAAAAGAGAAGGAAGAGAGGCTAGCAAATAAGAAGAAATTGAGTACCACTGGAGGACATGGAAAACAAAACAGTCATTTTTGATACCTCTATGGTCTAACTCGTGGAGACTGCTGCACAGGACAGGCACAGTGGTGACAGATGGATGGATAAATATCCAGTTCTCTAGCACAGTTTTCATGTATTACAGAGAAGCTAAAGAGTGGCTGATGTTTTTTAAACTATGTGAACTAATATGGTAAATCAGTTGGGTTGAGATTTTGTTCTATAAATCGTATTTTTTGCATTATGATTAAGTGATGGGGAGACTTACTCTCCATGCACACATGAAAAATGAGAGAGACTGAAAACAAAAGGTGAATAATAGCATTGCACTGAGCCCAGGGTCCCCTTGAGGATGTAGGTAGGTACTGGACAAGGGGTAAGTGTAAGAAAGGTGCATGGCAACTCAGCTCAGATTTCAGCTGTCATATCACAGTGCCATGTCATGATATCACAATGCCAATGGCATCCCAAATGAACTATGCCTTACTGGTGTTCTCTTTAATGCTAAAAGCAGAGAGGTGTCAAATGCAGATTCTCAAATATCATGTCTAGATGTAACCAACCATCTTATTAAATAAGAAACACAGAGCCGATTCAGAGAAGAAAGCCAAGAGGTCAGAACTAAGAGCCTTACCCTTCCTGCTTCAGTCAAGAGAGCTCTCCAAAAGGGAGCTACTTCCTGTGTGTTTGTCTTTATAAAGACTTTCAGTTCTGCCTTCTCATTGGTTGTAAACCCATGCCTCATCACTGCCTGTCTGTAAAGACTTCCAGGTCTTCTATGGTTGGGATTGAGATTAAAGGCGTGTGTCGCCAATGCTGGCTGTATCTTTTTACACACAGAGATCTACCTAGCTCTGTCTACCAAGTGCTGGGATTAAAGGCGTGCGCCACCACCGCCGCCGCCGCCGCCGCCGCCGCCGCCACCACCACCACCACCACCACCACCACCACCACCACGCTCTTGCTATGGCTCTAATAGCTCTGACCCCTGGGCAACTTTATTAACATACAATTAAAATCACATTTCAGTACAAATAAAATACCATCACAATCATGGGATGATGCTATGCTAGCTATGGGAATATTCTCTCATTTAGAGACAGAAAGAGTAATTAATAGTCAAATTTCCCCATAGAAAAATGTCCTTCAGGAATCCTAGCACTATGGACTCATTTTTGAGTCTTTGATGAGACTTGAAGAGGCCTTAGATTCAGTCTCTTAAAAATTGGCATGGTGCCGGGCGGTGGTGGCGCACGCCTTTAATCCCAGCACTCGGGAGGCAGAGCCAGGCGGATCTCTGTGAGTTCGAGGCCAGCCTGGTCTCCAAAGCGAGTTCCAGGAAAGGCGCAAAGCTACACAGAGAAACCCTGTCTCGAAAAACCAAAAAAAAAAAAAAAAAAAAAAAATTGGCATGGTATCATCACTTGCCACAAATATTTTTGCAAAGATTTTGAAAACTACTTCGAAAATTAAATTTTTTACTGAGAGAGCATCTATTATTCAAATAGCAGTTCAATTATGCAACTTGGCCTACACTTGTTTTTCTATAAAGTAAGATCAACAGGCTTACCCTGATTCTAGTTACTCCCAGTTGCTTGAAAAATTAAAACCAACAAAATGAATCTATAGCAGGGCTACAGATGTAGTTCAGTGGTAGTATAATTGCTTAGTATGTACAAGTCCCTAGGTTTGAGTCCTAGTAGTGCAAAAGAAAAAAAAAACTATAGTTATATCTGTAGCATATATTTACTTTTCAATAAGATGAAAGTACAAATGCTGGTTATAAACAAAGATGCTGAAAATGAGTTGAGAAATCATCATCTTTTTATATTATTTATAATATTAAAAATAATTCCATTTGAGAAAATAAGCAAAATTCATAGATGTGGTTCTTTTAATCAAGGACTGAAGAACTAGTGAATGAGGATTAATATTACACAGTGAGTGTATTTGCTAAATAAATAATTTGAAACTTACATATCTAAAATTTAGAAATGGAAGGCTATATAAAATGCAAAATCTGACTTTGGGGCTTAAAATTCTCAGTAATACATACTGTGGAATTGAATATTTGTAAACATTTAATATATAAAATATTATAAAGAGATAGTGTTTATTTCCTGAGAAAAACTTGTTTTAGAAAAACTTAAGCCCAAAGTATTTTAATATTTAATAATGTAATTAAAGACAATTTAAATAAAATAAGACAACCTATGTATTTTAATAAAGTCCAGAAGTGTGCCACACAATGCATGTTCTCATTTTTTTTCCAATGAAAAGGAACTTTGTAGACAGGTGACTATGAATTTAAAATATGTACTTTAGATTTCAGTTAAGGTTTTTTATCATGCTCTGGTAGATAGAAGGAGACACAGTAGTTCTGACATCTTCCTATGGTCTCCCTCTCCTTGGCAGTCATCATGATTTTCTAGTAGCTTCCTCAGTTCTTTTTTGCAACTGGAGACACTGGACCTATGAAGATATCTGTAGGCACCTGGCCCATGCTCTGCACAGCATCGTCAACACAACAGGGCTCTGTGCTGAGCTAGGAAGTGCTAAGGAGTCCTATAAAACCTGGATTCCATGCTCGAGCAGGGCACTAATAGCGATTTTACAGAGCACCTCCATGCTAATTCCAAAAGACCATTCACTTGGTGACGCGAACCGTTGACAAGGTTTTGTGCAGGCCTAACACTGGTCACAACTTGGCAGACAGCAGCTAAGAAACCAAGTAGGGTGATAAAACATGGGGTGATTTATAGATATGGGAGTAAGGGTAAGTTTTGGGTGTTCTTTGTCAAAGTAGTATCGGTATCACAAGGACAGTTGACCATCATAATATTTACCAAGAGATTCCTAATCTATAGAAATGAGAATTTCTAGATACAACTACTTGTTTGAAGACTACAAGGAAAGACATTGCAAGCAATAAAGTTTGCCATCCTGCATCATTCAGAATGCTATATTTGTGGTGCTCAGTATGCCCTTACTTTCACTGTCTTTCTAGAAATATGATGAATAGAACAAAATACACACCTTCCACAACCTCAAACTGCTGATGAATCATAATGTGATCTACCTGTCATGGTGAAAAGAAAATTAAGAATTTCAGATGTTTTAGTGAACCAAACTTGGATTCATGTTTTTATTACTTATAATCAGCTACCAACATTTATCAGTATCAAATTCTCATAATTGCTTATTTTTTAATAAAACCATATTTAACAACTCTTTTATTAAAATATATCTATTGAGCCAGGCGGTGGTGGCGCATGCCTTTAATCCCAGCACTCGGGAGGCAGAGGCAGGAGGATCTTTGTGAGTTCGAGGCCAGCCTGGTCTACAGAGCGAGATTCAGGAAAGGCGCAAAGCTACACAGAGAAACCCTATCTCAAAAAAAACCAAAATATATATGTGTGTGTGTGTGTGTGTGTGTGTATATATATATATATATATATATATATATATATATATATATATATATATATATAATAATTAATTTACTATTATCATGAGAAATTCAAAACAGTGAATCCCAGGCCAGACTATGTCATCGAGTAGCACCCTTTGTCAAAAAACATTTTTACTGTCTCTAACTTTTATGAACCACAGTAATTGCCTATTCATAAGTAAAACTGGAAGCATGGTCTTGTTTATGAATGTTTTATTCATTTGAACTTACCTGAATTAAATATTCCAATCCAGGTGGTAACTCAGAGGAGGTGTTGGAATCCATAGGGGTCACAGCAGGTCCACCTGGCTGGTGAGATTCTGGCTGACTTTAGGTAATAAAGAAGCAGGACCTTCATCTGCATAGATAGGTGGTGGGACTGGGCAGCCAGCTTGAGGTCCTAAGTCACCAGGATGTCCAGAAGTTCCCGAAACAGGAGTGAGCCAAATAGGTTGTTACTGCACAGAAAAATTGAATGACAAGTCCTTTTGGAATTACCCTAACTATGTGTAAGTTGGTATTTCTGACTCTAGTATTATGAACTTTAAAGTGTGATTGGTATTTTTTAAAGCTATTTCAACAAAATATATGGGATTTCATATCTTCTGCTATTTTTGAGGATGCTGGCTGTGAATAGAGTCAGCAGACAGCTTTTCCTTCAGCTCCGTAGCTATTTCCCCCAAATTGAAACATTCCATCTGGAGGAAAAAGGAGAAATCATAAGCTTCAGGAAATAAACAAATCTCACTGATCAGAGAAAGCTGAAGTGTACAACAGTCACAAGGCCCCTCCCCTAGAGTATAGGCTCAGTTATCAAAGCTGCTGTGGAGAAGAGACTTTCTTGCCATTTGATCTGTCTGCAAATTGTGCTGAGAGCTGTAGGGATGCACCATTTGTGAGTTATCAATCAACCATGCTGCCATTGCCTAAGAGACATCCATGCTCCTTTATGTAACCTTTTGCCCACACTCCTGTGGAGATCCTCAAATTGGACTTTGGTATGTTAATGGAACCCTGTCTTGAGTGAGAAGACATCTGTTCATGACTCCCTGGAAAAAGTTAACACAACACTCTTACCACTCAACCTTGAATGTAAAATATGTGAGATGAAATCACGAATGACTGGAGTTATTTATATCAGGATTTTGGCATGAGTTAATGGAAAAGGGTGCTAATGAGAAAACCAAAGCAAAAGATGTAAGGTACTATTTCTAGGACCAAAGCATCCTGCAAAAAAAGAATAACTTGGAAATCTAACAATGACTTTTCTTATATGTATAGAACAGGGGAAGGTTTTCCACTGTGGGGATATTTGTCAAGGTCTGGAGTCATTTGTCTATTTTCTACAACTTATGAGAAGGGTGGCACTGAATTGTGGTGAGTAGAAGCCAGGAATGCCACCACTGTCCCAAATGCCGGAGTGGCTCACTTGAAAATAAAGAATTCTCTATTCCAAATATTAAAGTTCAATATGCAGCAATATATATGACTGCAATTAAGTTTCACAGGCTTATTTTTATAGTTCATAGAAGAGTAGTTTTTAGGCTCCACAATATAAAGGCACTGATGGCTGCAGGGAGACTAATACTCAGAACAGGCAGTGCATTTAAGTCAACACAGATGAGGAAATCCATGTGGCATTAAAAGTAGGGCTTAGCTAAAAGAAAATATATAAGCGCTTCATAAACATAGCTTTTATAGTCAATTCCTTCTAAATAAATGAACATTTACAGATGATCGATGATGTGATTGTATTTGTTGCACAGTGAAGAGAAACAATTATCAAGAAGATAATTTGCACTTAAGCAGCCTACAATTAACTTCCAGGAGAAAGAAAATGTTTCCAAAGTGAAGTTTTCAGATACCAGGAAGCTATTTTAGATAGCTATAGCTTAGATGGAGGTGGAAATGCCAGGAAGGGAGCAGCTTTGTGAGGTGCTGGATGGAGAAACAGTGGAGAAGGGAGGGGAAGAACAAGACATACCCCTGATTTGGGATGTGAACTTGGCAGGCTTCCCCAGGGAGATATCCAAAGAATAGACGGCTCTCCAGTAACACAACAGGACACAGTTTACCTCCAGAAGCCCTTTGTAAGGAGTTTTCACTTTTTTCTAAGTTTGCTTGGCAGGCAAGGAGGGACTCTGGAGAGAAGGGTAATTTCATGACACCATTTAAATCTCATCAATGCTGAGCATTCAAATTCCCATTGTGCAAAAATAAATTGAAGTGATAGCCTTGAAAAAACATAACAAATATACATGAGCTGGGACAAGTCAACAATTTGATACTATAAAGAAGAGAGGAAAACAGAACAAAACAACAGAGAGAAACACTGTTCTAAAGCACATGATGGTGACATCTCTTTTAAGGAACCTTTCAAGAGTAGATTGAATGGGCAGAAACTCAAGAAGGAGCACCATGAACCTAAAGCCCCAACTGGCAGCCAAGCCAAAAACTACAGCCTTCACAATCCACACATCTAAAGGAAGCTGTTGACTCAGTTCTCGGCATTAGTATTGGGCTCCTGGGATGGATGGTCTAGCAGGATAGCAAGAATGGAACACCACTGTGATTGTGTCTGAACATCAACCGGAGCAGCCAATTTGAGAAGGTCTGACATGGCTGCACATCCAGATCTGTCTAATGAAATACCTGCTTCAAGTTCTAATAATGTTTACCTGTTCTGTTCTCAGGGCCCATTCCCTTTTGCATAGAAATCCCCAGAAGAAAACTGAATGGATTCTAAACAGGGTTCACTTGTTCTGGCTTGCTTGCTTGCTTCCTACTTTTTTTTTTTTTTTTGGTTTTTTTCGAGACAGGGTTTCTCTGTGTAGCTTTTCGCCTTTCCTGGAACTCGCTTTGGAGACCAGGCTGGCCTCGAACTCACAGAGATCCGCCTGGCTCTGCCTCCCGAGTGCTGGGATTAAAGGCGTGCGCCACCTTAAACCTTAAGCTACAGGTTAATGAGGAAGAGTAACTTCTGGCAAAACAACTAGAGGATAATTTTTCAGTTCTCACCACACACACACACACACACACACACACACACACACACACCACTTTCCTATATTTTACATAATTATAACAATTATACATATATATATATATATATTTAGAATAAAAATGCATGAGGCTGTACATGGTTAAAGTATATGCTATACATGGAAGAAATGATCATTATGAAACTTGTCACTATGTACAATATCTCTGTGTCAATGAGTGGAAACTTTAATAAAAATGATATAATTTCTGGTGCTAATTGACCTTTAGGTTGCTTCTCAGAGGAAGTGAGAATACAGAGCTGAGGAAGATACATATACCAGTATTGACCACATGATGGAATGCTGTAACGCTACAGTTACTTCTTCCTTGTTTTGTTAGGGGTATGTGGGCGTATGCTTTCTTTTCTCTCTTAACCTCTTAGCTTGTAACTTATGATACACTTATTATATATCATAGTGTTGGAGCATTTTCATTGGATGCCATAGTACTTAGGTTACCACCTATCAAGTAGATAAGAACCGCTGAAGGACTTTAACACACTTGTAGGGAAGGATGAGTGCTTTTCCAGTTTTACTTGGGTAGCTGCTTTATCACTGTTCTAGTTGGCTTTCTGTTGTTGTGATAAACAACACGATCAAAAGCAACTTGGGGAAGAAAGAGTCTATCTGCCTTAAGTATCAATGATGCCAGCCCATCATTGATGGAAGACAGAGCGAAAATTCAAGTAGGAAGCAAGGAAGAAAGCTGCTTACTGACTTTTTTTTTTGAAATTTTTATGGTTGATTTTTGTTTTTTCTGCTGGCTCAAATACATTTCTTATATAGCCCAGGCCTACCTGCAATGGATGACGCCATCCAGAGTGGCTTGGAACTCCTGCATCAATTAGCAATTTGTAAATGTCCCCTCAAACATTCCCAGAGGCCAATTTGATGGAAGCAATTCCTCCAATAGAGGTTTTTTTCCACAGGTAACTCTATTGTGTCAAGTTGACACAAACTTTCTAGCACAGTTGACATCTTGGAAACTTGACACACAAATGTATCACTGATCAATCATGTTTCTTTTCTTGTTTACCCTCAAGATCTCATGTTAATATCACAATACAAAGCACAGTCCTCTGGGACTCATTCAAGATCTTCTGGGCTCTAAAGGGCTTGGGTAGGCCCGCCACTCTGACTCTCAAGTCTGCAGCACACAGCTTGTCTTGTAGGCTCGAGTTCGTACCACTCCACACCTGCCTCTGTCTTCGGCACAGGTTCTACAGTCTCCAATATGCTAGTGTCTCCACTGCAGCTAAGAATGCATCTTTACCATTGACTTCTCAGCCTCCAACGGTGCCAAGCCTCAGCTTTTCTTAATGACCCCTTCGAGCCTTTCAAAACCAGACCAAAACCAGTGGGAGACTCTTACACATTATCAGATTCAACTTCCAGCTTGAGATGCATCCTTGGGACCCTCCATGAACCACAGATTCTGTGCACTGTCCTTGAAGAAATACTTCCCAGAAGATTTCACCTTAGTGATGTTGGTCTCTTATTAATCACAGTTGATTTTTTAGCCCCAGATAATCAGCATCAATTGTCCCAGTAAAGCAAAGATTTCACTTCAGTTATTCTGAAGTCACTTACCAGAAACTACAGATTCTTATTTCAAATTATCACATGATCAGCAGCTCTCATAGTCTTTGAGGGATTCTCAATATTTCCTCTGAAACTTCCTAATCCAGGCCTCTACCATCTGTAGTGATCTAAGATTGTCTTCTAAGTTCCAGCTTGGAACTCCCAAGGGCTTTTCCAGACTAAAGCTCTAAAATTCTCTATTTTTTTTTCCCATAAAACATACCAAAGCATAAAAGCCTAGTCAGGTTCATCACATCAATATGCTCTTCTCTAGTAACATTGCCCATTTTAGTTTACTTTTTCTGATGCTGTGATAAACAACATGACCAAGAAAAGCATGTGAAAGAAAGGGGTTGTTTGTTCTACACGTCCTGATCACAGACAATCATTGAGGGAAGTCTGGACCATCACTGAGGCAAAACTCTGGTAGAGGCAGGAAATACAGAGGAAAACTGCTTCCTGGCTTCCTGCACCTGGCCTTCTCTGCTACCTTTCTCATACATTCCAGGCACACCTGCACAGGTGTGGTACCAACCCCCAGTGGTTTGAGTCCTCCCAGCTCTACCAGTAATCAACCAGTTGATCAATCAATAATAAAAGCTGGACACACACACCCACAGGCCAGTCTAGGAGAGACAATTCTTTTCATTAAAGTCCTGTTTT